TGTACTAGAAACTTGGCTAGACAGTGAAAAAAAACAAGTGACATGAAACTGGAAGGATATCAATTGTTTTCAACAAATAGGGGAAACAGAAAGGGGTGTGGGGGGTTGCAATATATGTAGACCAAGTTCTTAGACGTAGTAAAATCTGGAGCTTGACAAACACAATGGAGAATGTAATGGAATGTTTAACTTTTGAAATAGATATTAATCGGATATTAGATATTAGTCGGCCTCACAGTGCAGAGGTGCAGGGTTTGATTCCAGCTCCGGCCTCCTTGTGTGGAGTTTGCATGTTCTCCCCATGCTTATGTAGGTTTCCTCTGGGTATTCCAGTTTCCTCCCACATTCCAAAAACATGCATGGTAGGTTATTGGGAACACTCTAAATTGTTCCAAGGTGTGAGTGAGGAAAATTGTTCGTCTCTGTGTGCCCTGCAATTGGCTGGCAACCAGCTCAGGGTGTACCCCGCCTACTGGCTGAAGACAGCTGGGATAGGCTCCAGCATGCCTTTGAATGTGGGAAGAAACTGGAGTACCCGTTGAAAACCCACAAAGGCATGGAGAGAACATGCAAACTCCACACAGGAAGGCTGGAGAATCCCGCAACTCTGCACTGCTAGGCAGACGTGCAACACTGCGTCGCCCATTAGAACTATTAATCGATCTAAATATACTGAACCAATGATTCCACAATTTATCAAATCAAACACTTAAATTTGAGTTTGAAATAGCACAAAAAAATGTACAAAGTACACAAAAACCTGCTCTGCTACAATACTCAGAAGCTGTTCGAAATTAGAGAGGGTTGCTATGATTTAAGGGATACTAGCCTCTACAGAAAATCCAAAACCAGAACAAACATTAAGCACAATCGTGGAGGGGAAGAGGCAAACACTAAGAATATTCCAACAACTATCTTCCACTTCTCCAGCCTCTAAATACCCAGTTGATTGGAATGCCTAGTTAGTGTGCACTGGAGGCTCCACTCATCCACCAATGATTGAAAAAAGAATACAACAATCAGCCACAGAGACATGACACCTACAATTTTAAAAAATATATATCTCAACAATACATTCATAGTTAGTTAGTTAGTTAGTGCTCCAGCGAAGGTCCGGGGGTCCCGTCCCTGTGCGTTGAGCCGACCAGATGAACCAGGTTTTTCCAGTGCCGGCGGTCTTGTGCCAGCTGTTCTGCATCCTCCACAGCAACTCCTTGTTGTTGGAGGTCGCCCGCAACGACGTCGAGCCATCGAGTGCGGGGCTTCCCTCGTGGTCGTCTCCAGCCTGCGGCCTTTGGGTCGAACTGAAGAATGGCTCGTGTCGGATGGTCTGGTGGTAGGCGAAGGACATGGCCGAACCAGCGGGTGCGGCGTTGTGCGACCAAGGAAGATGCTCGGGGCTGGCACGTGCGGGCTCTGAGCTCTTCATTGGAGACTCGCTGGGGCCACCTGATGTTCTCGATGGTTCTGAGAGCTCTGCTATCAAAGCCATCGATTCTTTTGGCCAGGGTGTCGTTCAGGGGCCATGTTTCTGAGCCATAGAGCAGGATCGAGAGTACGGCTGAGTTGTAAATCCGGAGCTTCGTCTTGCGCGAGATGGTCTGGTGCCGCCAGAGTGGTTTCCAGAGAGACTGCAGAGCAGATGCTGCCAGGGCTCGTCTGCGAAGAATCTCTGGTTTTAGGCTCCCATTGTCTGTCACCATGGACCCCAGATACACAAAGCTCTTGACAGGCTCTACGATGTCGCTACCAATGTGGATGGGAGGTGGATCTGGTCCATCACCGACATACATGAACTTAGTTTTAGTCCAGCTCACTTGGAGGCCTAGCCGCGCTGCCTCTTCACTGTAAATGCCCAGAGCGTCTCTCAGCTGGCTGTAGGAAGTGCTGAGCAGGATGGTGTCGTCAGCATACTCCAGGTCAGTCAGGTGGTAGTTGCCGAGAGACACTCCGGGGATGCGCTCACAAACCCTGAACATCAGATGGTCAATGATGCAATTGAAAAGGTCAGGAGCAGCCACACAGCCCTGACGAACGCCACTGGAGATGGTAAACCAGTCAGAGTCAATGCCGTTGATACGGACACAGCTCTCTGCGTTGCTGTAGAGCAGCTTGAACAGGGCTATGATCTTGGGTGGTGCTCCGAGGGCTTGGAGGATGTTCCATAATGAGGAGTGGCAGACGGTGTCAAAGGCGGCCTTCAGATCGATGAATCCGATGTAGAGATGGCGGTCTTTACGGAATTCACGGGTCTTCTCGATCAGCAAACGAACGGCAGAGATGTGGTCAGTTGTGGAGCGGTTGGGCATAAAGCCAGCCTGCTGGGGACGGCGGCGGCTTCTGATCGCTGGAAGGGCACGGCTGAGCAAGATCCTGGTGAAGCCCTTGCCCGGGATGGAGAGTAATGTAATTCCTCGGTGGTTTCC